AACAACAACAACAAAAAAGAAGTCCACAGTTCTTCATCTATGCTTCTCCATGATCCAGTTAAAGTTTGGCTTTTAAGAAAAGATTTTGTTCAGAGCAGCTCTAAAAGTTAAGAGTAATGAGTTTCCTTAGTATCTGCTTACGTGCATCATTTTCTTACCTATTACAAATGTCAGCAGGCTCTACGCCTCCCTTTACCTGCTCATTTATTGACTAACTGAAGCTAAACAGTCTCCACTATTGCATCAACTTTTTGTAGAAATATATGTTTTGCTCTTAAGAGTAAAATCTGTGAGATAAATTACCTCTGGTCTGTATACAAGGGAAAAGAAAACCTGGTGGGTGTAATGGTCAAAACTCAGCTACTAACCAAGTGATCAACAGTTCAAATCTATCATGGTAGAAAGAAGTTATAATCTGCTTCTGTAGAGAATATGGGCTGCAAAACTATAGGAAAGTTTTACTCTGTTATGTAATAGGGAGGTCTAGAGGCCTACGTGGCAAGAGGCCAAACTACCAACCCAAAGATAGGTCGCTCAAATCCATCAGCTGTTCTGTGGGAGAGACATGAGCAGTCTCCTTCCGTAGACTTTACGGCTGCTGAAAATCTACTGGAGGGTCAGCTATGAATCAGCTTTGACTTGATAGCCCATAAACAACAATAACTCTGTCATGTCATATAGGGTCATTATGAGTTGACATCAGCTTGCCAGAGAAAAGTGTAAAACAAACAAAAAAAAAGTGTATGCAATGCACATATAATTCAACACATTTATACATTTTTATCTTAAGAGCACTTTTAGTATTATGTTTTAGTTACAAGATATGCAGCATAATAAAACATAAAATCTATTTTAATTTTTATTTAAACAAAATAAATGATAGGTGGTAGTAGAAACAACATTTAACTTTTTTCATTATAAACTTTGCATGTTATATGAGAAAGGCATAATGTATTATCATAAACATGTCATCAAAATAATTGAAATGCCACTAGGGATTTATTTTAAGGTATTTTTCCATGGTTATTTTTTGTTTATTTTAATTTTTTACTGGTGTTAAATTATTTTTACCAAATGTTGCTTTTTTAAACATCATAATTTCAAAAGAACTAGGTATTGCCTAACATCTTTCTTGTTTTGTAACATTAATAATTTTGTTATGTTATGTAATTTATTTTTACAGTAAAATAAATGGAATTCTTTTTTAATGTTAGAAAATATATTTTATCATTTTCTACAAACACTAATCTTATTGTTTTATTAAGCTATGAGAAAACACATTTTATCCCTATATTTTGATTATTATAACTGTTGGGTTTTGGGTTTTCAGAAACAGATATTGATGTTTTATAAGAATGAAGCAAGATCATCAGTTTGAAATATTAACTTAAACTTCTCCATGTTATTTCCCTGATTTAATTAAACTTATGCTGATAACTTATTTAAAAATTTTAAATAGATCAGAGGAGTTAATTTCGTTTTAAATATACTAATATGTAACAAGTAAATTATGCATTCACTTTCAAATGTAGCTCTGTAAAGTGGCTTCATAGATTAGAGCAGATAATACCAATGTATTCATTGTATTAATGACGCATCATGATTAAGAATAAATGCATTATTTACTCTCCATTTTCATAGGTAAGGTATGGAATACCAAACCCAAACGCTTTGCCTTTGAACCAGTTTTGACTTATAGCAACCAAAGAGGATAGAGCAGAACTTTCCTATAAAGTTTCCAAGATTGAAATCTTACAGACCATATTTCTACAAGTTGGTTCCATACAGTGACTGATAAGTTTGAACCATGAACTTTTTTGTTAGCAGCCGAACAATTAACCACCATATTACCAGTGGGGCTTAGAGTAGGGAATGTTGTTGCTGTATGGAACAAGAGCTCTTAATTTTAACATTTAGTGCATGATAAACCTGTGCCAAAGCTGACAGTTGTCTTGTGTGCCATAGTGTCAAAGCCAATCCATAACTGACCTTCAAAAGGGGTTTTCAGAGGCCGCAAATCACATGGGATGCGATAGCCTATCATTCTCCTTGGGAGCAGCTGGTGGATTCAAACTGAAAAGATGGCTGATTTATTACCACTAGGCCACCAGAGCCTTCTGTAATGGATAGCTGTTAATGTAATTTATAGAAATTTATGTAATATATGGCAGAATAGGTATCCAAAGTATGTTTGCAAAGTCATTGTTTTTATTTTTCTGCTCTATACATATTTGGTAAAAAGTGGGCCAGTGAAAAAGAGTGATACTCTCAAGAAGATAGACTGATACAAGCTACTTCAATGGGCTTTATTAAGCAAAGGAAGAATTATGAGGATGGGACAGAATCAGACAGTGTTTCAACAGGGTTGCTGTAAAAGTCACCTAATAACAACTATGCTGTAGAGTGTGGATTAGAGTGTGAACACGTGGTCTGTATAGGTTCTAGAAACCTGTTATTAAATATTGATGGTTCTTTGGAGTCATTTTTTTAAAACTTCAAACACTTAAAATGAGCTGGTAATAGGATTGACATCATCAGAATAAAAACTCATCAGGGTTCTTACAACTCCTGCAGCCCTCTATGGGGTTTCTTAAACTACAAATCTTAGTAGGGGATGTCTCATCTTTTTCTTTCAGAGCAGCTGACAGGTTAGAACCACTGACCTTTTTCAGCTTTCAGATCACAATGTAATGCAACAAGGCTCCATGATTCCTTATTATAGCAAATACTATAAATCAGGATTTCCTCATTCTCCAGACTGTTTGCCCACACTATTCTGCTTTCAGCTTAGCATTGCCTTTACTACAAAAATGTTGTCACTGATTATATTCATACTTTTATGGTTGTCCAAACAAATGTAATGATCAGGTGTAAATCTTTACCACGTATCTAGTTATTGCTGTTATGTGCTATCAAGGAGAAACTGACCCACCTCTGACCCTCCAGAGGGGATTTAGAGGCAGTAAATAACATGGAAGTTTGATTGTCCATCCTTCTTCCACAGAGCAGCTGGAGGATTCAAACCATTTCCCATTGAACATACCAAGAACTGCCAATAATTTGGAAACAAGAACTTTATCATTATTAGTTAGTGAATTGAATGTTAACTTTTACCTCATATTAAAATACCCAGAATGATCTCTTATATATAAGAATGTGTGAGATAATTATTTCTTTTTCTTATTTTCAGTGATTGTGGAAAGTGGAAATATTATTTCATATGTGGTTTACATTAATTCCGGATATTGTAGTATTTATAGAAGTATCACAGGACTTGTGAAACTACCATTAAATAGAGTGGTAAGTTTTATAGTAATGTCTTTTTATTAATTTGTTAATTTACTTACATAGATTAAGGAAGCTGAATATACTTTAATATATATCATCTTTTGTAAAATGTCTCTTCTAATATCTTATCCATTTTCAATTCAGTTTCTTTTCTTTATAAATATTATTTTCATATGTAAAAATAACCAATAAACATACTAAAGATTTCATAAGCTCTTTAGACTTGAGAGAAATCAGAGTTAATAGAGAAACCTCAATAAGATGTCACTAGAAAGAACACAGTTTTGCTAAAATTAAAAACTCTGCCTATTTCAGTGATTGACAAAGGAATAAGAACATTGGAAGTCTCATAGGTTACTATTGAAGATAAGAGAAGGAAAGTAGTTGTCTGTTTTATACAAAGCTAACTATACACTTACCATATATTCCAGCCATAATTCCACCTCTAATAGCTACTCAAGAATAGTGAATTATCTGTCTACAAAAATATTTGCATAATGCTTAATAACTTCAATTGGAAGTGATCCAATTGATGTTGTTTCTATTGTTATGTGTCATTGAGTCGCCTACGACTCATAACGACCCTATGTACAATAGCTCGAAACCCTGCTCTATCCTGTGCCAATCTTACTGTCTCTTACACATCTACCCCATTATTGCAGTCGCTGAATCAATCCATCTTATCAAGGGTCTTCCTCTTTTGCACTGTGCCCCCATCCTCCTAAGTGTCATGTCCCTCTCTAAGGACTAATCCCTCCTTGCAACATGTCTGAAGTATGTCAGACGAAGCTTCAGAATCATTGCCGCTAAGGAGCAGCCTGGCTTCACCCCTCTCCAGGAGGAACTTGTTTATTCTCCAAGCAGTCCATGGTATATTCAATACTCTTCTCCAACACCACAGCTCAAAGGCATCAATTCTCCCGCTATCATCCCTAGTCATTGTCAAGCTCTCTGATGCATAGCAAGTGATTACAAAGACCATGGCCTGTATCAGGTGCACCTCAATAGTTATTTACACTTAAATGCATAAGAGCATTGTGAAATTTGATACAACAGAATTCCACACTCCAATTTAAAAAAATCACAGAGTATTGAAACACACAGCATATCTATCAATGAATCTCTAAAGAATTAGATTGAACATAAGAAGATTTCAGACTCAAGAAGCACATTTTATGTGATTTTATTTTTATAAATTTCTAAAAGAAAAAATAATAGAATAGTGATGATATCAAATGGTTCTGTATGGTTCAGTGTTTATATTGGCCATTGACTCAAAGGATGGTGGAAAATTTGGGGGGATCATGGGTATTTTCTGCACCTTATTGGGATGTCAGTTGCACAAATATATAACAATCAAAATTTATTAAACTGCAATGCAGGGATATTTTATTTATATATACTATGTCTTAATTTTATTTTTAAAAATGAATTACAGATTCATTTCTGTGAAAATTGGCTCTGACACATGACAACTCAAAAAGTTTTTATGAGTAAGCATTTCCACAATAGAAATTATATCAAAATATGGTGATGTTAATTTATTACAAAGTCACGTAGAGTACCAATGCATTTTTCTTTTCATGTAGAAATCTATTAAATTCCACAGCCTTTTTGTAGCTATGATTTTTTTCTTTTCTTATACACTTAAATGTTGTTAAAAAGAGCCCTAGTGATGTACTGGAATACATGTTGGCTTCCTGACTGCAAAACTGGTTGTTCAAATTCATAATTATCTCTATGAGATGTGACTATAATCCTCTTGTTGAGATTTCCATTCTTAGAAACTTGTTATTGCATCAGAGAGTTGGACAGGGACTAAGGAGCATAGAAGGAGAATTGATGATTTGAGCTGTGGTGCTGGAGAAGACTATTGAGGGTACCATGGACTGCTAGGAAAACAAACAGATTCATCCTGGAAAGGGTTAAACCAGGCTGCTCCTTGGAGGCAAGGATTCTGAGACTCCATCTAACATAATTCAGACAGGTTGTAAGGAGGGATCAATCCTTGGAGAGGGACATCATGTTTGGGAGGGTGGAGGGACAGCGCAGGGGGGGGAAGACCTCTATGAGGTGGATTGATTCAGTGACTGTGTAATCGGGATGGGAATGACAGAGACAGTGCGATTGGCACAGGACAGAGCAGAGTTTAGGGCTGTTGTACATAGGGTCGCTATGAGTAGCAAGCGACTCAACGGCACATAACAACAACAACAACAACAAATCCAAATGAGATGGAATCTACTCAGCGGCAGTGGACTTGATTTGGTGGGTAATGTTGTTATTGTTGTTAGTTGTACTCCGGCTGATTTGACTCCTGATAATTCCATGTGTGCACAATAGAACTTTTCCATGGGACTTCCAAGCCTGTGACCTTTCAGAAATAAATAACCATACCGTCTTCAAAGGTGCCTTTGAGTAGCCTTGAATTACCAAACTTTTCACTAATAATTGAGTGTATAACCATGGACTCCTCCTGTCGTACTATCAATATATTGAGTTATTGTGTTCTTATTTTTTATTATCTGGGCCCAGTTTTATTTTAATTTTAAAAATTAAGGAAAAAAACTCTGATAATATCTTTAACGCATCATTTCATAGAAAACTTTCCCTACCGTTCTTTCATTAGGGGCTACCAGTTCAATTTCATTCTAAATGGGTGTTCATACATTAAAAGAGCACATCATTTTCAATGAGAAAACACCTGTATTATCTATACATGCACTATTTTACCTCAAACCATTCCATTGCTTAGATGGAGTAACTATCATTTCTCTATTGTAATGTCCAGGAGCTTAGAGAGGTATTTATAATATTCTGAGAATACATGAGTCTGACTAGAAAAAGTGTATTTATGAGGCATACTGAGTTTAGAATTTAACAAAGGACTATTTGCAGGGTTTTAGATCTTATATTAATCCCTCTCTTATTCTTGAATCCATTGGTTCTTTCCCACCAACCAGAACTATTTGGGATAACTGGTGTGCCCCACATATTCACTTTCTTTGGTGGCAGATACTGTACAAACTCAATATTCTTGGTCACATATGGCACCTGGTCTACTCTAGTCAAACTTGGAGTTAACTGTTCGTGTTGGTCAGATAATCTTCATCAAAATTCCATTTAATATGTACTTAGTTGAATTCTATTGTCATATGCTTAGTCTTATATAGCCTAAATATTTGCCCTTTGTGGCAATACCTTAAATGAAACATTAGATTTTGACAACAGGTTGTAGACAATGTGTCCCACCTTTACTGAGTTCCTGTCACTCACCTACTCATCATATGCTAGTGACTACACTCTGTTTTATAACTCTGCTCCCCAACTCATAACTGTTTTACATTCATACATCTCCCAAAAAATAAAATTTGAAGTCTAATTATCTTTTTCTTCAGAATGATCAACATAAAGTCAATTAGGCCCATCTCAAGAGGAAACTTTCTTTGGAACAAAATGCTGTTTCCCTTGATTAAACTTAAACTTACTTTGTTTTAATTTTTTATTATTATTTAAACAGGAAAGTATTTTTTTTTTTTCGTTTTCTTTTTTTCCCCCAATCATTTCTGGCCCTGGCATTCTCTGAACTGATTTTCTTTGTTATTCTATTCTATCACAGATAACAAATGGTACTTCCCCAAACATACTAAGCTGTATTTACAAAACAGTATTCTAGGACCTTGGAAAGTGAGATGAGTTCCTAAACATACTGGTGGATTGAAAATTTAGTTTTCAGATCACTGGCTATGCTTTCAATTATTTAAAGTTAACTGTCAATCAACTACTGTTTTAATAAAATTATAGCGTATATCTAAGTAATTTTTTTCTAACTTGAATACATTGATAGTTTTGAATATTAGTAACTAAAATGATTTCTAAACAGTGATTTATGATGTCCACTATATTTATTATAATAAAGCAGTTTCATAAAACCTGACTTTTCTGTATCTCTTACAGAAAAAAGTTAGAAAGCTTGTTGAGATGGGTACAGTTAAGGAGAAGGAGTCCTTTGGTGAGATTAGTATTCTTCTTCAGGTTCCATTCAGCTGTACAGTCATTACTGAAACAGAGCTTGAAGCTGGAATCATTGAGGATAAAGATCTACTTGGTAAATAAAAAAAAAAGTATCTTTTATTTTAAGTATTAGGTAATTTTAATAAATGGCCTTTTGAAGAGTAGAGTTTCCTCACATACAAATTGGAGCACATAGAGGGTGTGTGTGTCTACATTTACATAGATGTATATGCGAGGTTTCGATACTGTTCATAGGATAGTGTGAGTTATAGTCAGTGGCACCAAACAGTATCTTAAAACATTTAACTATAATAACTAGTTATTTATTAAGATAATATATTGATAATGTATTGGTAATCTCTTTTGTAATTATCTCTTGTGGCAGAGTCTACAAGAGTTTTGCTGTTAATCCAAACTGACACCTCTCTGGCAGAGAAAATACACTAACTTCAGAAGAAAGATGGGCAATTTCCTCTCATGTGATTTACTGCCTCCAAAACTGAAGGTTCAAATATGAGTCAATTTCAACTTGTTGACAATGAGAAAGCGATGAAAATACTAGGACCATGTTTTAAAGCTTTGATTTAACATTACTAAAACTGCTAACAGCTCACTGCCCTGGGTGTACCCCTAAACTTAAAATCGTTGTTTTCCTCCCTCTCTTCCGTGGTATCCAAGTACAAAATTTTTCAAGGTAAACATTCCTTAAAGAATAATTACTAACCACCAATTAACATTATGGGTACTTTTTTGGTAAATTAGTATTTATCAAATGAAAGGACATTTTTCAGGCATATATTAAAATTTCTTTGCCATCTCTTAACCTACAATCCAAATAGATAGTACAGTGTGAGATTTAGTTTTGTTTATGGTTGTGCTAGTTATATTTTAAACTTCATTCTACATTTATTGTTGTTATTGTTGTTATGTGCCATCAAGTCACCTATGACTCTTAGTGACCCTATGTGCAATAGCCCTAAACCCTGCCCTATCCTGTGCCAATCTATCTCTGACACACCTACCCCCTTACCCCAGTCATTGAATCAATCCATTTCATAGAGGGTCTTCCTCTCCTGTGCTGTCCCTCCACCCTCCCAGGCATGATGTCCCTTCTCCAAGGACTGGTCCCTCCTTGGAACATGTCCAAAGTGTGTGAGATGAAGCTTCAGAATCCTTGCCTCCAAGGAGCATCCTGGCTTCAGGAAAACTTGTTGATGTTCTTTACAGTCCATGGTGTATTCAAGACTCTTCTCCGGCACCACAGTTCAAATGCATCTATACTCTTTCTATCATCTCTACTCATTGTCCAGTTTTCTGATGCATAGTAAGTGATTGCAAAGACTATGGCCTTGATCAGGCATACCTTACTCTCCAGACTGATACTATTGCTCTTCAGTACTCTAGAGAGGTTCACGACAGGAGACCTTCTCAATGCAATTTATTTTTTTATTTCCTGACTGCTGGTGCCAAGAGTGTTGATTGTGGAGCCCAGCAAACTAAAGCTATTAACAATCTCAATCTCTTCACTGTCTATCAGGATGCTGCCAATTGGCCGAGAGGTGAGAATCTTTGTTTTCTTGATGTTGAGCTTCAATCCATATTTAAGACTGCCCAATCCCTTACACACTATGAAATTGGTCAATACCCATAAATGAGCCTGTTAAGAAGCTGTGCTGAAATTCCAAGGGCACATGGTTTGAATCCACAAGCTACTCCATGGAACAAAAATATGCAATCTCCTCTAGTACAATTACTGCCCCTGAAAACCTGCTGGAGGGTAAGCTTTGGGTCAATATTGACTCAATGGCATGCAAAAAAAAAAAAATAGAATGAGGAAATAAAAGATCTCTGTAGCTTAGTGGTAAGGAGTTTTGTTGCCCACCCAAAGGGTCCATCAGATCCATCAGTTTATTGCAGGTCAAAGTGGGCGATGTTCCCCAGTGTAATTTGCTACCTCTGAAAATCCACTGGAAGGTTAGCTACGAGTCAAATCTAACTTGATAGTATACAACAACTGCAACAACAGAAGGAACAAGTAATTCATTCACTATACTTAAAGATAGGTAGAATTCAATTTTAAAAATATGTAGCATAATTTATGTTGAATACTTCATCCAAATAATTACACTGTTATAACAACAATTGTTCTTATAGTACAGAGGAGAGGGGGTTACATAATTATATTAATCTATAAAAAGAAATCAGCTTTAAAATATAGAAAAGTTTATGAGTAATGCTATTTCATTAACTGATGTTAATTTTTCAAAGAGAAAAATGCATATTTTAATCTTTGTCTAGTGGTGATTGGAACATGGAATGTGAGAAGCATGAATGTAGGAAAATTGGACATTGTTAACAAAGAAATGGAACACATAAATATTGACATACTAGGTATTAGCGAAATGAGATGGCTTGGCATGGGACATTTTGAATCAGATGATTGTACGATTTACTATGCTGGGAATGAAAAGGTGAGAAAAAATGGAGTTGGTTTCATAATTAAAAAAGTAATTTCTACATATATCCTGAAATACAATGTGGTGAGAGACAGGATTGTGGGACAGACCACCAATTACTCATAGGCAAGTTCAAACTCACTAAGTTGTGCTAAGAAATCTGGAGGACAGCCAGCTGGCCAACTGACTGGAAGAGAT